ATATATATATATATATATATATATATATATATATATATAATATTTAATTCTTTAAGAGAGAAAGTTTAATTTTTAAATAAAAAATAATAATTGATAAAAAAATATATAAATATTTGTTTATTTTAATTATAAAAAATTATAACATTAATATATAAAAAAATGTTTAACATTAAAATAGAATAATATTATAATAATTACGATTATCTACAAATATAAAATTTCTTTTCAAATATCAAGTGCAAATTATTTGTATCATTTTTATTTGCAAGTAACGATGATCATCGTTAGCTCACAAATTCCACGAATAAATGTAACAGAACTGAGAATTGAACAGGGATAGTTGAAATGCAAAATAATTCTTAAGAGACTGATAATTGTGCATGCCAATCTCTATTCATACTTATTCACAATACAACCAAAAAAGTGCAACTTTTCAGTGGTCCATCTATTAAATCATCAATAGAAAATATATTAAAATTTTGAATAATTTTCTTAACTAATTGAAAAATTATATTAAAATCTTTTGTATCTTCTTAAATAAATAATACAATATTGTAAATTGAATTAATCTCACTGTTATATATAAAAATTGTATATTTTTTTTATAAATTGTATTTATTATATAAGGAAAAGGTAAAATAAAATGGGGTACTGTTTTAGAATGAACACATAATATTTAAATTTCATTTAAACGAATGTGAAGAAGAGGGCTCGATATTTTCGAGTTTTCTTCAGAAAATATTATTTTCTGATAGTTCCACAAGCTAATAGCGATTGAAGTTTTTTCCGTCATCTAATTTTTCATTAACAGAAAAAACATTTGAAACCCCATTTCATCCTACTTCTCCTCCAAACATTATAGTCACTGTAATAATTAAACTGCGAACGATTTATATATAAAATCTGAATATACAAAGTACTAAATGTATCTAAAAAAAAATAATACGCATAATACATTTTGACATAAAACGAAACAAATCTCCACTCAAATTCAAATCGTGTGTATAAAAATTTCGCACAAATATTCGAAATCTGCTAATAATCACACGATGAATGTAACAATCTCGAATTGATTAAAAGCCAAAAAAAGAAAAATCCTCTTCAACGAAACACGTGACGAGGATTCGCAGCGGAGATACGCACGTTACACTGGGCGAAAGACGTAGTGGCAGCGTACCTAGCGATTCGTTGTGGCGAAGCCGTGTCGCGAAAACACAGCGTCGACCGATAAACACATCGGAGAGAATAGACGCGGGAAAAAAGGCGGCAGCGACGAGAGCAGAGAGCAGAGGCCGGCCGGGTCGCGCAGTTGCGGCACGCAAGCACGCCGGAGCGGAGCGCAACTTCGTGCAAGTGGGTGGGAGTTGCAGCCCTCGTAAGTCAAGAGAGCGAAGAGTAACCGAAAGAACGGGCTTCTACTCAGTCTGTCCGCGGCCGTCCGTCAAGCAGACGTCTCCGACTCTTGTGTGCTCTCCCCCTCCCACTTCCTCTCGACGTTTCCTAGGTCGAGTTTCATCCGAGTTTCCCCGCAGTGTCTCGAGGACCTCGTGGATGGCGCATGTAGCCCTTCGCGCCACCCTCGCACACGATTACCACCGCGGAAATCGAATCTTGAATTAATACGCACGTACACGCGTTTATGACAGTTTCTCGTGTGTTGGAACTTATGTATGTACTTGGTGGATGAGAACGATCGAATTGGGTGTGATCAAGTGGCAAGACCAAGTGTGACCATGTGGAATATAATCGCAGACTTAATTGGCCTGATCTTCATCGTCGGTTTACCACCATGGTGTTCGGATGCGTTTAACGTCGAGACGAAACATTACGCTGTATATCGAAATGAGACCAGATCTATGTTTGGATTCGCTGTTTCGGTGTACAGGGATAGATACGGCCGAGGATGGTGAGTTTTTGGTTGCTTTTTTCTTTTGATTTTTTTTTTAATTTGATATATTTTATACAGCACTAGAACTACTATGTATAATGAGTACATCTATTTTAAATATAAGTAATTAAAGTTATGTTGTAAAATTGTTCATTTCTATCTTATCTTAGTAAAGTGTTAAATTTTATTAAAAAAATTTTTATGTGCTCTGATAATTGTAAAAGAAAAAATATAAAATTTAATATTTTGAGGAATTTGGTAGTTTTAGTGTTAGTATATAGTCTTGCACTGTTATTGCACAGTTAGATAGTTGCATAATAAGTCTTTTTTTAACGATATAATTCAGAATTTGCACTTTTGAGTTAAAAATTATCGTATTTTTCTATTGATAAAATCTTGTATATATGTTTTCGTGTTTTAATATAATCTGTTATTTTAATCGTATGTTTTTATCATAGAATACAAACGAAAATCATTGCTGAATGTTTCATAAACTGAAAATGATCGTGGAGATTAACAAAAAGAGATATTTATTATGCAATAATCTAATAATAATAATAACCAATTGACAAGTTACATGTAATAGATTTTATTTTTATATCAAATAATACAATCAGCTGATTTTATCGAATCCACTCTTAATTGTGTTTCTGATTTTCAAAAGTATACAATTCATTTGATATTTCTTGGAATTTTGAAATGTTGACCAGTTTGTTTATTTCAAAAGTTACGTTTGAAGGAAGCGAATTTTTTATTACGAATATTTACTTTGAAATTTTCAATTCAAATTTTGCAAGCATATAGATTTTTAATGAATATGTAAATACAATTAGTATTCATATTAATATTTCTTTAAACCTTCTTATCTTTGAATTTATTTAAAATAGACCAAAATATCAATAAAATTTAAAATAGAATAATGTTCGAATATTAATTAATTCGAATAATTGAATATTTAAGATATTTAATTTAATATAATTATATAATTTTGTGTGAATCATGAGAAAAGATAGCGTGAAATAATTAAATGTAAATATACACTATCGATATAATGATAGATTAAATCATCGGTTTCTGAATAAACGATACGTAACACGATGACTCAAAATCATATATAAAATCAATAACATAAAAGTTTTTATACACTCACGTAAATCCAACTAACAATAAATTATTATCAAAAATTAAAGTCGAAAATAATTTATTTTTAACGACACTTTTCGAATTTTGCATTTAAATCACAATAAATCATATAAAAAACAATTTTCTTAACTGGAGAATGTCACTTTGAAAAAATAAAATCAATCCTTATTTAAAGTATTTTTCTTATTTTTTAATATAAACATTCCTCAAGATTTCTTGCTGAAAAAATTCCTCTATTATTCGTCTATATACACAAACTTTCATCTAAAAGATTTTTCAAATTGAACGAATTTCCTGAAAACTTTTGTTCATTATTATCGCCATCTGTAATTTTTCTTCATTTTTACGAAGATAAAATGATGTTAATCATACAAATATCGATCGTGTTTTACGGTCTTTCGCCGACAATTCTTCGAGCCAGACCAAACTTTTTACATCATTTAGTTAAAAAACAAACCTCGGTTCCCATCTCTTCCAATTATGGCCTTCGTCGATTCAGAGGTTCGCGGTATTCGTACACAGTGCCACGAATTTCTTCACTGACAACCAATGACCCACATAATTCCAGAAATCCATGAATCGAACAATTCGTAATCTCTGAATCACGGTTATTAAGAGTCAGTTGCTCGTTTTGTAAATTTGTCGTACGTGTCCTACGGCCGTGAAGAAATGCGGTTCCGCTGGCGGAAGAAACATTGAGTTACCAAGTAAGCGCTATTTCCGTAGGCGCACTTTCCTTATTACACTTCAGTTCGGATTAGTCAAGCTTATTTGAAGCGTTTCATTCCGTAATAGTTATTTCCGAGTAGAGCAATTTAAAGCTGTAGTTTAAATTTTAAAGGAATTATATTAACGAAGCAATACTTTTTATCATAAATTATGAATTATTTGTAATTTTGTAATTTTTCGTCCGATCAAAATAATTTTGATCGTATTTTTATTTGTCAGAGTTGGGCATTAATTCGTTGAAAAAGTAACTAATTAAAAATAATTCGAATAAAGTTACTTTAAGTAATTATATTTATTAAAAAAATGCTCGAATAAAACATTTGTTCGTAGCTATTATTGATCTGCTTTTCGCACAACAGTAGAATTATTCGCGATTATTATTATATTTTGAATAATATATTATCGAAGAATTTTATTAATTTCAATTCTATTAAATTTTGTCCATCATTGGTTGGGAAAATTCTTTGAGTTTAAGTCAAGGATATTGAAAATTTTAAAAGTCATGCTACTCTAGGGATCAATATCAGTAAGCACGAAACTAGAAATAGCATTGCGTTACCTAGCAACTGTTGTTCCTTTTAACTCAAGAAATATTTGAAAGAATTAAGTAATTAATAGATCTAGAATCTATCTAAATTACTTGAATTTAACAAATGGAAATAGAAAAATTAATAAATATACGTGTACAATAGTACGTGTGCACTCGTAGTTCATATCAGTGAAAAGTTATTATTTGAAATCAAGTCACTCGAATCGCATATCTTAACTAATCTAAACGAGGTTTTATATCGCGCGAACGAATGCAAGAATAAACGTGGCGTCAAGATATGAAAAGTGAAAGAATAGCGCGATCATATTTTACCACGTAAACAAATACTTCTTTTCGAGTACGAAATGATCTTTTTATCGAAAAATCTTTGAAAATAGATTTTCGAATAGAGGAACGATCGCAATGAATTCAATGGATGTGTTTAGATTAGTTTATCGACTCGTAAAATGGCAGGTACACCCACGAGTTTAAGACGACCACGCTCTCCTTTTAAGTCCTCGTCCCAGAAACCAACTAGCAAAGTGACTTCTGCTATTTCGTTATATTAGCCGAATAATGAAGCTCGATAATGAAATATCGACTCTCGTTTGCCCACGATATTTTCGAAAGAATATAATATCCTCTAACGCTGAATAGGCGTTAAATCATATTGAGGTTAGGATCGATTTCTCTAATTATTAGTTATTACAAATATTTTTTTTTTGGATTGAGAGTTTCGTTGAATTTATAAACGTGATTCATAATGATCACGTTAATTTTAGATTTAACGTCATGGGATTAATTGCGAACCTTGGGTAACCACGATACTGGAATTTTAAAGATAGCAGTGGTATCACGAATTTATAAAAGTCTTCTTAAAATAAATTTAATCCCAGAGAATTTTATACTTTCTTTGAAAAATTATTAATCGATCTCGACCAAATTGGTTGGTTACTTGATCTCAGGCTATTAATTTTATTTCGTACTTCATATTTTATACGATGTGTAAAGGACTAATTGAAATTGAGTAATCTTGCGATCCAAATTATTGGGTATTACGTATGACTTAATGATAGCAGTTGAGAGTCAATTTTGATTAAAATGGCAATTGATCGATATCGATCGCGCTATAAATTTTTCTGGAATCTTTAAATTGAAAAAGATCGAAGTTAATAATTTTAACGTATATATTACGATATCTATCAAGATTATTTTTATTATTTACTTACTATCCAAATCTTGTTTTTCCTTCGAAATATTCGAAAAACTTTTCAATCGGGTTCGAATCTATTCAACCGATACATTCGATCCCATCTCCGCAAGACAAGATTCACTTCATCGATTTCTCCGTGACACGGCGATAGTTGAAGGGCAGGCCCCCGGATAACAGGTGCTCTCGGTAGACTTAGAACCGTTCTCCTTTTATGTCCCCTTTCGAGAACGAGGCGAGTCGGTTCTCCCGTTTCATTCGAACGCTCGTAACTGTTCTCGATCCTCTGGTGACGATAACCTTTCATTTGTCCATGATAAATATAATCGACCGAGTCATCCTCTTCGATTATTCCCTTTTCCGCCGGCCGACAGAAATTCATTCAGATTATTATGAGATCCAAGAAGAAGGAATATTTACTTACGATTCACGAATTATTTTTACCTCGATTTCTTACGAAAATATTACGAAAATATGAATAAAGAATTGCGAATACTTCTATTTGTTAATACGCGAATAAAATCCGCTCGATAACTTTCAAAATTATATGACGTCTTTTAAATTTACCGCGCCAAATCCCGACCTCCATTCATCGTCCCAAATTTCGAAACTCACAACCTCTGCTCGTCTCAACACATATAGATGCTCGGTTTTCATTTCGATCAAGAGCAAAGACTTCTCGTGAGTCACGCGGGCCACGAATAAACATTTCTCCTCCCCGCTCCTCGGGCGACGATGAATATAAATAATGCGGACAGAACGAGGAAACGCGAGTAAAGGGAATCGGTTACGTCTTCGTGAAAAATTCGCGTGAAAGGTCGGTCTTGGGTCTATCAATCGGGCCACGTAGTTTATTCGATTTCTAACGGATGTCGAAACGGATTCACACGAATGAGAGCCGATAAATATCGCCATCGACTATACCGGTCGAACCTTAGCATGCCTTTCGCATGCTAAACGGAATGGCCGAACTTTCGATCGTGTTTTCTGGCTGGACGAATTCAAGTACGGTGCCCGTGCGACCATTCATTCGAGTAATTGGATTGGACTGAATAATTTGACAGGGTCGAGTGATTTGTGAAAGGGCTTCTCCCGATTGCTTAGTATCTGATTGTTGGGAGGCAGGTTTGCGAATCGTGAAATAGTTTGGTTTTGGAAGTGATCTTTGCTAATGTATAAAACAAAATATTTTTATTTTTAATGAATCGTTCAGTGGAGAACTATAGATACATATTTTTTTTTAAAATAGTGTAAATCGTATAAAGTAAATTCTCAACTTTATAAATTAGAGGTTAGGTTAGTTGCTCGAGTTGTTTGAATATTACGACTCAAAGAAGATTAAGAATACGAATATTAAATATTAAAGAATTATAAAAGTTTTCACAGTTTTCTAAATTTGTTTCGTTT